ATATATATATATATATAAATAAATAAAGCTCAAAATTCAAATTTTGTACAGCATACCTACACTACATTCATTCTTCTCTTAATGTTATGTTTAAGATGTGTCAAAATGGCAACTACTTCAGTAACCATCAGTACACCACTAAATAAAACATAGTCCTAATGGTTTCCTTTGGTACAAGTTCACAGCTCATGTGACTATCCTTCTGTTTACCATTGCTAAAGCAATTACTCTGCGAACTTTCAAATCAAATATCAAATGCAACCGGTATGGCGCTAGAATTAATCACTCCTGCATCAATGAGATTTTAATGGACTAAAGAACAGCAAAACTCAGAACTACAGATCAGAATATTTTATACAGGTAAATTAATTTCTTACACCAAGTACAGTTAACATGAACTGCAGAAGCTCTTCTTACAGGGCATCACTGCTTACATAATGCCCACACTTACTACAAAACTATAAAAATACAAATTAATAAACAAATATTTATATCATTATCAAGCAACTTTTTAATTTCATTTCACTTCATAGTTTTCGATTTTTTATTACTGTTATACACATTTTATCATTTTTTAGAATAATTTTATTTTTACAGAACTAAGAATACAGTGAAATTCCATTACTCCCTACACAGTACATATAATTCATGCACAGTTTTATTCTAAACAGCAGATGTTATTAGATTACTTACATCACAAATTAGACTCCTTATCTACTGAATTAAAAATGTTTAATGGTTTACAAAAATTTGTTTTTGAAGAGATTTCACTGTAGCCACTCCATCATTTACACATTCCAGCATCTTAATTTACAGCTATGAAAAGTAATGATACAATCCAGATGTTCCTTGCATTTGTTTTGTCCCCAGAGCTCGAAGAACAGCAAAAGGATCACCCGTTCCATTTTTCTCTTCCTCCTGACCATTTGGTGACACTGAGGAATTGGGTTTCTGTGGTGTTGCTCTCAAAACACTTGCATATGTTGTACCTCCTCCATTTTGTCTCTGAGTGGATGACAACAAATCATCACCAGAATTTTCACTGTGTCCATTTGTCTTACCAAATTCTCCACTGATATGTTGCTGCTGATGGAGATGCTGATGTTGATGATGCATGTGAGGCTGCTGTTGTACAAAACCATCTACCTGCTGCTGATCTTGGATATGAGAGGGGTAGAACACTGAAAGTGGAGGAGGTGCATCTCTTGGTGAAAATCCAACAGGCAGCTGTGCTGACATATCTCTTTGGAGTAGGCCAATAGGTACTTGTGTCAGTTCCCTTTGATGTAGCCCTGCAGGTAATTGGGACTGCAATTCTCTCTGTTCATTAAGTGACAAATGTGACAGAATATCTCTCTGCTGGAGATTCATTGGCAATGTAGGTGTAATATCTCGCTGCAGTCCAATGCTAACAGCTGCACGAGCATATCCAGCAAATGCTCCACTTGTTCCACTAGTACTTTTATCCACAACACCATCCAAGATACAATGTACAGGTGTAAGAGTAACATTTTCCTGTGCTGGAGTTGGCACAGATGACTGCGGTTGACGACGGTATAAAGGTACTGACTGCTGCTGATTTTGAAATGACCAGCCATTACTAACATTCATGTCCACGCCCTCCTGAAGATTAAAACTAGAAGCAAACCTACCATTCAGAAAATTGGTCATACTGTCTATGTGTTGCTGTGGTGGTGGTGGTAGCCCCTGTTGCTGCTGGTGATGAAGATGATTAGGATGCCGCTGAAGCAGAGATGGTTGTACGGAATTTCCTCCTCCATCACCTGCTGTAGGCATCACAGATGGTTCAATATCTCTCAACATGAGAGATTTACCATTTATCACAGTAGACAAAGCTTGAAGATCTCCAGGCTTCTCATTTCCATACCAACCTGGATGATTCTGAACAGACCTTTCAGATGGCTGTGGCATTTGATGAATGGCCTAACAATGAAATTACATTTATCTAGAATAATATCCAATACCTCATACTATCTTAACAAATTGAAATTAAATGTAACATCACCAGCACATTTAGTACAGTGTTCTGCCAAAAAGTATCCATACAAGCTCAAAATATTTAAAATATGTTCCCACAAAATGGTGCCTGTTTTGTCAGGCATAACACAGCGAAGGACAATGTTACACATTTAAAAGGTATAACCCTTTGCTCTTCTTAATGTTCTAAACATAATAAAACTGAGAAAGCCTTGCCTCCTCTAACACTGCAAAACAAAATTATACCTCATTTAAAATTAAAAAATCCAGAAAAAAGTTGGACCTACAGCATACACATTAGTATTTTAAACAGAAGGGGCAAAATGCTAATTAATACCTACAACAAAAATGCATTGTGACTTGAATTTTGTTAACTATAATAAAAATACCATTAGTTTGAATTTGTAACACTGTTCTAACGGTTTTCATTCAACCTAGTTCAAATCACCTGTATATGTATGGGCACATTGTGGTGGTGATGAAGCTGATGGAGATGCTGTTGTTGCTGCAGCTGGTTACATGTCACTACTCCTGGCTGAGCACCCAAATTCTTGTCTGCAAACAATTCTTCCAAAGTGTGGATCATAGCTGGAGATGGGAATGACTCCTGGAGTGTTGGTGGAGGAGAAGGAGGCTTCTGCTGTCTTGAACCATTTAGGGTATTCGATGTGCTAACAACCAACAGTTCCATAAACCTGAAATAAATTACATAATTAGTAAGCCTTTAAAGCTGCTACATCCTCCACCCTTGACCACTAAAGTCTTTCTGAGAGTATGTTGTTCCTTAAAAGCAGGTTGAAATCCACTATCGGCTTGCTGGACCTGACATAACTTCACCACATCTCTTTTTTAAATTCATAAAGTTTAAAAAAAGAATAACAAGACCGGACAAGTGGAATACAAAAAATATGGAAAGCACAGCCGACTAGCTATACAGTTATCAAAATAAAGCCCCTTACAAAAGAAATCCCAAAAATGTTCTATTAAATGTCAATTTGGATAAACGTGTATCTATATTTAAAGTATATACTGTTCAGGACTCAGTTTTGTGAGTCTATAATGAATGTGAAGCAGGTGCATTTCCCAACCTATGTACACAAAGCTAAGACCCAAACAGTAGGTATTAAATAGCAATACAATAAAGATATATTTTTGTTTAAAAAATAAATAAATAAAGAGTAAAGAGCAGGTCATTAATTAAGCATATGTACAAGGAACTACAAATACATGAAATGAGTTACTTTGTGGCAGTTTCTAGTCCAGCACTGTCCAAAAGGTGGTTATACCATTCTCTCTGTCTGGGTTGCGATTCAATCATTTCTGCCAATGTCATATTGCGAGGAAGAAGGTTGCTCCAATCTCCCAATCCAAGACTCTATTAAAAGAAAACAAAATGTTGATACAATTAAACTGAAACTAAAGCAGTAAACATGAATATTCCTCATGCAATCTACACCAAACATAAACCACCTTCTGAAACATCTAGGTATATAAACAATGGTAATAATTCTGTCCACATGTTTTCTAGAGATGTAGTTATGCGAAACATGGTAATTCTGAGCACATGGTACATATGACAACACAATCATTTTGAGCAAATTGCTGTGATTGTTGTTGACTTACTGCTGAGTCACCTTCTTCCTAAAATATTTCCACTTTATGCATTATACTGGAAAAAGCATTACAGTTTTAACATAAGTCATACACCCAGGTGTGGGAAAACTTTTGTCAGACCTGTACAAATTTATGAAATGGGCTATTAATATATGATATAAACACTGGTCCACTTTTCTGAACCTAACTATTCAAGGTCAGCTACAATTTGGCTAGGGATAACCTACTGACAATTACTTCATATTATCAGCAATGACTTCCTTCGATAAGCATTTTGACTACACATATATTCATACTTCTTCTGACCTACTCAAAGCTTCATTATGACAATTCTTGATCAGCTGTTTGCAAGTAGGCGTAACAAAAGAGGTCCAATGCAATTCTTGGTGAAGTAGAAAATTTTACAACAAATCTACAACTATTTGAGCATCACCATACAGCAGATGCATTGTCAGACATTTCAGAAGACACTAGTACAAGTAGCAGTAAATGCCACACAAACACTTGCTTCTTAATACATACCACTTCTTGGGCAACTAAGTGATTTTGATGTCGCTCTGGAAAATGTACATTTTGTAGGAACTGAATTTGTTCAGATTTTTCATGTTGCCTTCTTGCTCCAATATGATCAACAGTTAGATGTTTGTCTCCAGAACCCTGAAGGGAGATAAATGTGTTCCTAAGGGAGTCCACAGCAGTCAGATTTTGACCTGCCTGTGGTGGCAAGTTTGGTTTGAGAAATGAAGCTGGTGAAATAACACCACCAGGAACATAACTATCAGGTAAGTTGCAACCTACAAAGAAAATTAACATAAACGAATAAGACATTTGTTCTGTACACAATTGTAATTGAAGAAAAAACACTAAAAAATAATTATTGTTTTAAACCAAATGTCCAATACCACTGAAAAGTTCTTTGCACAATATTCAAACATAACGGTAACTGTGGTACTCTGCCAATAAAACATCTTTTTTTTATACAAAGCTGCAGCACAAAGACAGAATGAAATCACAATGACGAGACACATACCAAGTAAAAAAGTCCATTCTGACTGTATAAAAAAGTACTGCAACATAACAGATAATTTAAGTATAACAGTGACTGCAATCTTATGGTAAAAGCAAACATTTTTACAGAATCTTAAGGATAATGATACTAAAGAAATGTGGTTGTTCATTACTTAACTAATTGGTTATTTAACTGGGAAGCAGAAGCTTGGAAGGTGCTTGTAATTTATTTATATGTATACTGTAGTATCTACATATGGAAATGAGTAAAACATGAAAAAACTCAGATATAATGGCCAGTAATTTGAACAAAATTTGAACCAGGTTCCTCCTGTATACAAGTATACTACTACACCACTAAGCTCAGTCTTATGAGGTGACTGATGGCAGGCATATTTACCTACTTAACAGGCTGGTACAAAACACAAATTCAGTGTTCAAATACCTGGACTAACTGGAGAAGATTCCTGTGGAATGGATGTGAAAGATCCTGGCTGGATTACTGAGTTACCAAGACTTCTGTTAGGGAGAGAATTTGCCTCTAGCCTTGAATCAGGTGGTTGATGCCACACAAACACTTGCTTCTTAATACATACCACTTCTTGGGCAACTAAGTGATTTTGATGTCGCTCTGGAAAATGTACATTTTGTAGGAACTGAATTTGTTCAGATTTTTCATGTTGCCTTCTTGCTCCAATATGATCAACAGTTAGATGTTTGTCTCCAGAACCCTGAAGGGAGATAAATGTGTTCCTAAGGGAGTCCACAGCAGTCAGATTTTGACCTGCCTGTGGTGGCAAGTTTGGTTTGAGAAATGAAGCTGGTGAAATAACACCACCAGGAACATAACTATCAGGTAAGTTGCAACCTACAAAGAAAATTAACATAAACGAATAAGACATTTGTTCTGTACACAATTGTAATTGAAGAAAAAACACTAAAAAATAATTATTGTTTTAAACCAAATGTCCAATACCACTGAAAAGTTCTTTGCACAATATTCAAACATAACGGTAACTGTGGTACTCTGCCAATAAAACATCTTTTTTTTATACAAAGCTGCAGCACAAAGACAGAATGAAATCACAATGACGAGACACATACCAAGTAAAAAAGTCCATTCTGACTGTATAAAAAAGTACTGCAACATAACAGATAATTTAAGTATAACAGTGACTGCAATCTTATGGTAAAAGCAAACATTTTTACAGAATCTTAAGGATAATGATACTAAAGAAATGTGGTTGTTCATTACTTAACTAATTGGTTATTTAACTGGGAAGCAGAAGCTTGGAAGGTGCTTGTAATTTATTTATATGTATACTGTAGTATCTACATATGGAAATGAGTAAAACATGAAAAAACTCAGATATAATGGCCAGTAATTTGAACAAAATTTGAACCAGGTTCCTCCTGTATACAAGTATACTACTACACCACTAAGCTCAGTCTTATGAGGTGACTGATGGCAGGCATATTTACCTACTTAACAGGCTGGTACAAAACACAAATTCAGTGTTCAAATACCTGGACTAACTGGAGAAGATTCCTGTGGAATGGATGTGAAAGATCCTGGCTGGATTACTGAGTTACCAAGACTTCTGTTAGGGAGAGAATTTGCCTCTAGCCTTGAATCAGGTGGTTGTGATTGTGGCGGCGGTGGTGGTGGTGGTGGCGGCGGTGGCGGTGGTGGCTGTGGCAGTGCTGCTGCTTTCTTCTTCCCAGATGCTGCAGCCATGTTTGTTGGCCATCCAACTGGTGTGTTTTGACCTGTTCCATGAGCAGAGAATATGCTACCTGGTATAGGAGGAGACACAACAGGATAATTAAGACCCCATGGATTCAAGGGAGGTGGAGGCCCACTGGGTTGAGGATACATGAGTGGAGGCCTAAGCGGGTAAAATGATGGATTTGATGGGTGATGTGGGTAATAGTACACCTGACAAGGGTATATACTGGGAGCTAGGTAAGGAGGTATAGGATGCTGAGGACCTGGTGGAAATTGCAGAGCGGGAGGAAGTAATCCAGGGGCAGTTCCTCCATATGGTCCTAGGAGAGATGGCAGTCGAATATAAGGTTCTCCTTGATATTGGCGAGGAAAAAATTCAGGAGCTAGAGGGTTCAGAACATAAGTCTTCTTCAGTTCCACACCATCCAGCTGGCTGCGTAAATAGGACCATGTGATGCCAAACAAGCTTTTGTTTTGGTTGCAGATCTGAATGAACCTCTCCCACACCTTCCTAACAAAACAGAAACATGACAATAAAAGTTAAAGAAAGAAATATAAAAGTAGAACACATTTTAGCATGTAAACTTGTTGCTATTCCTACTTTCTTTTGGGTTTCTTACTGGTGCTCCATACCTTATGAAAAATACCTTCAGATAAGCCAATCTCCTTTTCCATTCATCAGTCATTCATCGTCTATGGTTTGCTTGACTGTCGTGACTCCTTTCGGGGTTTTCTTGCGAAAGTACCACAGTGGTTTCGCCTTGCCTTCCGTGGCCAGTCTTTACCCACCAGACTGGAAGAGGAGACTCGGACAAACATCCACGCCTTGAGTGGGACTCGAACCCACGGTCGCAGCGGCCAGGCACACGAGGACCATGCCTCTGACTGCGTGGCCACTGCGCCGGCCTTTTTCCATTGCCACAAGAATAAATTTATGTATTTATTCATGGCCTACTCGGTGGTCTAGCGGTAACGTCCTTGCCACTGGACCCAAGGTTTGTGGGTCCATACCCAGCCGAGTTCAATGGATTTTTAAGGATGATAAAAATCCATAGAATAACTTCCTTCTGAGGGGAAGTAAAGCCAGCGGTCTCATGTCGCAGATTTATAGTATGTAAAAGAACCTTACGAGCATGAAGGAAATGTTTCATAAGCAAAATTCATGTTTCTCACCCATGTCTCTTCTGATTTGCTACTACAAGGCTCTAGCAGACAAATCAGGATTGAGTAGAAATTGTATAGAGGCAGCAGGCTTGCCACCTGCTACAATGAGAAAGGGGCAAGAAAATCCTAGGTGACTAGGATGTGAGAAATGGCCAAAAGGCTGTAAACCACTTGCTATGATGATAATGAGTTATGGCCTATCTAGTGATGTCAGAAACTCAGACTATACAGTGCTGGATAAGAGGATAGGTAATAAATAATGAACTGAAAAGAACATGGAATGAAATAATCATGGCCTAATTTAAAGTGCTATCCTACCATTTGCTTGGAGGAACTGAGGAAAACCACCATTATCTGTTTCATAAATTTCATACATGCAACAGATATTAAATAGCAATTAAACTGAGAAGAGGATAGACGAAGTAGATAATGCTTCACTAATGACACAATATGTCACATTTAACTGAATTTTCCAAATGTCTATGAACTTTATCACTGAATCACCTGCCTCCACAAGTTTCAGGTCTGTTTACAAGTTGTAGAAAGTTTTCATCATGGGCTGACATATAACATTTCTTGAGCTCATGTTTTTGCATGCAAAATTACTCATAAAAAGTAATATAATTAGTGTCTAAAACAATTTTATTTCTGTCAGATTTAACAGATTCATTTTTGGACATTTAATTTTAACAGCCCTAAAATCAGATTCTCTCAAGAGTCTGCCAAACCACCAGATAAGACATGAGAAAATTCATACTGACCTGCACCTGCCAATAGAACAGAGAGCTACTGGGTCTCCAACAACTGCCACCAAGCTCTGAGCCCTTGTGATGGCTGTGTTTAGAAGCTTTGAGTTTGACAAGAACCCATAGTCCATCTCATCTCCACCCATTCCTGATTTTGTCCCTGAGTGACATGTGCGACGTGTTCTTACTGTACTAAGAAAAATTGCTCGGAACTGTTTTCCTGCAACATTCACAAAAAAGTGGGGTAATTTTGATTAATTTAAGTAACTAACAAATACTTTACAAACACCAACAGTACATAAATATATTAAAATTAAACTTTAATTGAAATTAAGAGAATAATAAAGCCATGAAATATTTATTTTTAATTTAAAAATTTTAAGGTGCATATATATATATATATATATATCCACAACAGTAATTTTACCAGTTATTTTGTATGGTTATGAAATATGATCTCTTAACTCTGAAGGAGGGATATACATAGCAATTACTTGAACATAAACTGCCAAGGTAAACACCTGACCAAACAGAAAATAATTAAAGTGGGCACTAAATGGTACAACAGAAAGTGACCAACATGAACAAGAGCAAGTGGTGCACACACTCTCACACACACACATACAAATGGCATCTATTTCGCACTTAAAGTAATGAATACTTCATCCACCAACTCTGAAGCTGATGGGCTCATGACATTAGATGCACAGAAGCATCACAACTCAGCTGTTATTGTATATGTTGGTCTTTTTGAAAAAGGTGCAGGATGCAAGGACATGAGTAGGCAGCTTCAAGGCCTGGGCCTCTTTATACCTAGTAGCAACACAGCTGATGCACACATGTATTTATTATGTTTGGGCTTGTTTAATCAATGAGGTGATGATCTGAACATGTCTGGGATGAGAAAAACAAATACAGAATTTTAGTGGGAAAACTTCTGCCACTTGTAAAACTAAGATAATTGAAGGTTACATACTGTGAGGATGTAAAACAGATTCAATTAGAACACAATCAGACCCAATGGTGCAACAGTCAGTCAGTGAGATTATGTGTACATATCTCATAGTGATCCCCAGTACTGACTGCTGAGGAACCCATTAAGTGCTATTTATGGAGCATAATTATTATAGTACATTGTGGACCCCTTAAATTTAGATTTCATCATTAATATCCATTATCACTAAAGAAATCTTAAAACATTTGGTCAGTTTCTGGTACATGATAAATACTGCTAAGCAAGACATGTATATTATCAATTTTAACCTTGTACATTAAGAACCCTTTCTACAGAGATTCCTCCCATCCGCCGCTTGCGCAATTCAGAACGGATCCGGAACACCTGATCAGCGTAAGGAGTCATGATTCCAATACTCTGGTCATCCATCTTACCCCAAGCTGCTGGCCACTTCTTCCTCAGTTCACAAACCCTCTCCACCACTTCATAGACCTGGACATTTTGATCAACAAATTACAAATATTATAGAAATACCTTTAAAATATCTAACCCCCCTCAAACAAAAACCTATCTACATAACATGATAATACAGCTATACCCAAGATAGTATTGATTTGCACAAAGTTGTTTTGTTTTTACAATGCTGAAGATTTAATATCATGTTTAGCACTGACAGTGCCTCAAAGTTACAATGTTGAAAATACAAGGTATACGGATCCTTCATTTTTAAAGATTCGTCAAAATGAGGCAAGTTATGCAATTTCTTCTTCAGAAATACACAGTGCATAAGCTAATTCTTGGATTTGAGAGTTTTCAATTCTTTTTTAACTGAAAATGAAGCATGAAATGTTCATGAATTTTTAAAATTAATTTGTTCTCTTATTTCATTTCTTGATGATGTAAATGCATCACCACCTACTAAACTACATTACACCTTCCAAGAACAATTGTAACAAGAACATTTCCCCACCTATTACATTAATTATTATGGGAAAAACTGCTTCGCTATGCATCACTTCACTAAACATTTTGCGTTTATAGGACAAATCCCCTACCTTAACTGGGGTATAGCTGTACCAACCCATACTGTTCCTCTGATGAGAGACGAATTCTGAAAATGGGTCCAAAGGAAAATGAACACACAATACATTACTGATTATACAAGTATTATGCTGGAAAGGTAAATTAAAATAAAGATGAAATAGATCAGAAGGACTAATCCTTTAAGTAGAAGACAAATATAATGTTGGATAATGTCCATTGTCTGAGGTATATTTGATACAAACCTCAAGCAACAGATATGTCCAATATATAATATATATATAATGAATCAACAATTGCCACAGACCTTTAGAGTATCATATTTACTGATATTACAATTAGAATAACTTTCACCAATATATGTATGAAGCACAAAACACTGAGAACGCATTACAATGGGTCTGGAATATTAAAAGTAGTAACTGCATATTATTAAACAAAAATAAAATCAATCGATTAGATGTAAGTAACTTTACCACAAGCAAGCAAAGAAGATATTAAGCAATACTTTTAAATAAAGCTCCATTATTGCTTAACCTTTAACTCACTGCAGGGACACCTTTCCCTATATATGACATACATTCAGATTAATATTCAAGAAAGACTGAACACAATAATATTTGTGTATATACTCAACATCAAATTACTTCTTATTTATGTAGAAAGGATGTAATTTTATTCCTAAACAATTAATTAATTTTCTTCTGAGCAACAATATTAAATAATATTCCTTACTTTCTTGCCAGCCATCTTTTTAATGGACCTAACTGACTAGACTGTAAGGTTCTACCTGATGACAACCAGAGCCAATTGTGAAATGTGTTTTTAAACATTTTTAAATATTTAATTAACAAAAGAAAATATCCAAGAATATTCATCATTTTAATGGCATGTTCATCACAAACCTTTAGATAATTCTTCACATCTTCAGGTTTCCTTTTTATTATCAAATGTTCAGGTTTCAAGCATTTAAATTCTGATATTCTCATCAACTTAAAAAAAGAATTTACTTTGTGTAATAGCAGATCAGACATTCCTAACCTCTGAATTATTATAGAAGGCTGTGGAGTTAAGGTCCTGCACATCTTCACCTCGGGTAGTGAAGAAAGTTAGGGGGTAGAACTTCTCATGTTGTGGCTGCTTTGAACTACTGATTAGCTTCTGATCATAGAACAGCTCTGAAGTGAACTGTAATAAGAAGATATAAACAAATATTAGCAGAGAAGTAGTGGTTAACCCACTTAATAAACCTTACAGTATGCTACTCCACACCAGAAATTAACTTTTGGACTTGCTTTTCTTATTTATAGATGGCATAAGGGTTATCAGTGACAAGGTATTCACCCTTCAAACTAAAATGAAATATCCACCTCAGCTGTGAACAAAATGTTTGTGATCGCAAAATGTGATCAATGACCTTGTTCATACAACTTCAACAAGATGCATGTGATATGGGTATATTTTTCAAGTACTACAAAATGGCACGGTGATGCATCATGTATGGAACACCACCATCTCCTGATGTCACCTCAGATCATTCCCGGGGCTCAACAACACATCATGAACAACAGCTTCTATCTGTGGCTTGTGGTTGTACTTACCAGATGTAGTTTAGCAAAAGACCTTACTTCTGGAGGATACCTAACATGACAGACTTGACAAAAATTACACTGCACTGTCAACTTCAAATTTTCCCAAACATCAAGGACACATTTCCTGCCACCTATGAGAAGATTGCACTGCTTGCAGTTGCCATTAAAGCTTCAAATCTTACACTACATTCTCACTTTTCCAGTCATCTCAATGATTTTAACTAAATTAGTTTACAACCTCTATTGTAAAACATTTGATAAGCAGTAAAGATAACTACAGTGAAACCTCTATCCATCGTTCCCGGAACTATCGTTTTCCCGGATGCATCGTCCGTTTTGTTCGGTCCCGAATACATCCCATATAAAATAATGTTACATTTTCCCGCTTCTATCGTTCCTCGAACTATCGTTTTATCGCATCGATCCTTAAAAAATCTTAGTCCCAGCACACAATTTTCCCGCAATGATCGTTTCTGAGAAATTAAAATGCTGGGTTTTGAGATAAATTA